AGCAGCCTGGGACAGTGGGAGGTGTCCCTGCCATGGCAGGGGTTGGGATGAAAAGGTTTTTAAAGTCCCACCCAAACCAAACCATTCTGGAATTCAGGACTGTGGAGTTGTGAACAGAACCCCAGGATCTCCCCCATCCTTTGGGGTGAGGATGGTCCGTGGTGGAGCCTGGTGACTGGGATGGCAGGACAGGAACCTCCTGCTGGTGGAGCTCTGTGTTCTGGGAGCTGTCCCTGCCCAGCTCACCCTCTGTGTCTCCTGCCAGCATTCCCTGTCCCCGTGGCAAGGTGTCCCTACCCCCTCACAGCAGTGTCCCCTCATGACAGGGTCTGCAGCCTCACCTGCCCCACAGGCTTCTCCAGCTTGTCCAGGCTTGGCCCCTGCCCTTGGAAATCCAGGTGCTGCTTTGAGGTTTGGCTACCTGGGCTGGCCTGGCCCCGTGCAGAGTCCTGGAGGGGAGCCCGAGGTGTGAGCAGGCAGAGCTGCCCCAGGAGCTGAGGCTGACCCACTTCCTGGGATTCTCACTCCAGACTAATCCCTGGCTGGGGGGAAAGTCTCAGCCCTGAGCTGCCGTGCTCAGGTTAATCCTTCCTGCCTGCAGGCTCCCCGGCCTGACCTCTCCCACCTGTGGTTCCTCACTCCTTGGTGCTTCCCTTCCCCTGGCAGGGAGAGGGCAAAAGGGATGGGCATTCCTGCTGTTCAGGTGCTTGGGAATTCAGCCTGAGGTTCAGTTTCTGGACAAGGGGCTGGGAAATTCTTTTCAGAGCAGCACTTAGGAGAATCTCTCACCTGAAGGTGCAGGGGTTGTGTGGGGTTTGGGGCCTCGGGTGCAGCTCTGGCTTAGCCTTGCTCCGGCTGCTATCCCAGCCTGATCCTGGACTTGGCATGCTCGAGGTAACCTCAGTGTTGCAGGTGAAGCGCCTGATGCTGCTGATGGGCAGGCAGGTACACGGGGCCAGAAGATGGACTTTCCTGCGTTTTGGACTGGCTCACTCTGCATTCCCCTCACTGTGACTCAGTTTCCCCATCCACAGAACAAGAGTGGCAATGCTGCACTGCTCCCAGGGGTCCCTGAGTTTACAGTCCTGTGAAGTGATGGTCTCAGAGTACAGAAACACCCTCATGGCATTTTGGGATAAGTCTTTCAGGCACTTTTATCCCCTTCCAGGGGGCCCTGAGGCAGCACGAGCACGTTATGGAGCCGTGCTGTGCCTGTCTCTTGCCAAGACCCCACTGGAGTCCCAGCATCACTGGTGTGCTGGGGCTCTCAACAGAGCACAAAGCCATCCCAAATCCTGCCCCACGTGCCCCTTGTGCTCCTGGCTTGCATTGAACAGGAAACCTGTTGTTTGTTGATCCAGCAATCCATGAAAATGCCTTCATTGTGTTCATCACATCGGCCCTGGGCCACATGCTGCTCACCTGCATCCTCTGGAGAATGACTAAGAAACACACAGTAAGTCCCGAGGTACAGACACTTTCCTTTCTTCTCTCTGTGCTGGGAGCTGGGAGGGGGCTCTGGGGCTGTGCCAGGACTGGGACAGGGCTCTGGGGCCATGCTGGGAGTTGGCAGGGGGCTCTGGGCTGGCACTAAAGGGCTTTAGCTATTCTTGCTTGTGAAATAACCCTGAGCAGGTGCTAGAGGAGCCAACAGCAGCAAGTGAAACAGAAGAAGTCACCAAAATCCATTATCTACCAAAGCAAAGTGGGAAGGAAGCGTTTCATTTCCTATTTTCTGGTTTCATCATTGAATCACAGAATGATTTTGGCTGGAAGTGACCTTAAAGCCCATTCAGTGCCACCCCTGCCATGGCAGGGACACATTCCACTGTCCCAGGCTGCTCCAACCCCAATGTCCAGCCTGGCCTTGGGCACTGCCAGGGATCCAGGGGCAGCCACAGCTGCTCTGGGCACCCTGTGCCAGCCCTGCCCACCCTGCCAGGGAAGGATTTCCTCCCAATATCATATTAAGTTTTCATTGAGAAATCATATTGGAAACCCCTATTGGCATCCCTGTGGGTTGGGATTGCTCATCCCTTCTCCATGCCTGTTTCCAAGCTGTAGTTGGCTTCCCTATGCTGGGACTTGCTGGTCCTGCAGGCTGGGAGCAGCAGGAGTTGTTCTCCCTTTGCTCCAGAATGACTCTGTGGAGCAGGCTGGCTCTGGCTCTTTTTCCGGGGAGGGTCAGGGGTGCAGGGACTGCCTGGGGGGGCAGCAGGTCCAGTGGAGGATCCAGCCAGGGGCTCCTGGTCCCAGTGCCTGGATGCAGCTTCTGTGCTGTGCTGGTTTGTGGTGTGAGTCCTGGACCACAGGCAGGTTTGTCCTGGACTGTGGGCACTGACAAGCCATGGCCAGGACAGGGCAGGACATCTGGGTTTGTTCTGGACTGTGGGCACTGACAGCCATGGCCAGGACAGGGCAGGACATCTGGGTTTGGGGCTGTGTGGGACCTGCTGCTGTGCCCACGTGGCTCCTGCACACTTGGCTTCACCTGCGGAGGCTTCACCTGGGCTTCCTGGATCTGTCTGTCCTTTCCCTCTGGAATACTTCTCCCCAGCTGATCCCAGTGGTCCCATGTTGAATGGGGAGGGGTCCCCTCCCCGGGGCTGTGTTGCCCCAGGAAGGTGCCAGTTTGCAGAGCCCTGGGGAGGGGTGTGCCTGTGTCCCAGGGCTGGGGGGCTGGACAGGCTCCCCCAGGGGATTGTGAGCAGGCTGCAGGGTGGGTGCTGTGCCTGGCTCTGTGTCCCAGCAGGATGAGTGCTGGGGGCCCAGCTCTGCAGCCCCAGAGCAGCTCCTGCTCCATCACCACTGTTTATCCTCCCCTTCCGCCAATTCACCGAGCTTGTCCCTGCTGCCTGACTCCAGAGTCCTGCAAAAGAAGCTTCCAGCAGTTGTTTGGCTGTAAGACTCCTTAGGAGAGGGACTTGTGGAGGTGCTGAGACTCTCCTCACTCACTGGGAAGTGCTCTGTTCTCTCTGGTGATATGGGAATAGCAGGAGCTCGCAGTCATTTCTTGGCAGCTTTCCCACAGCTTCCTTTATTTCTGTCATATTGTTTTGGCTTGTCTTTTTTCTGGGTGAGACCTCCAAGGGCCCGGATCTCCCCTGCCACGTCACCCACTGGGGCTGGTTCATCTCCCCTGCAGTGGGCAGGGGTGAGGCATCCCAAATCCTGGGCTCAGCCTTGGACCCCTCAGGCAAGAGAGCCTTTGGGGGGCTGGAGTGTGTCCAGGGAGGGGAATGGAGCTGGGGAAGGGGCTGGAGGGGCTCAGGCTGGAGAAAAGGAGGCTCAGGGGGGACCTTGTGGCTCTGCACAAGTCCCTGGCAGGAGGGGCAGGGAGGGGGGGTCGGGCTCTGCTCCAGGGAACAGGGACAGGACAGGAGGAATCAGCCTCAAGCTCTGCCAGGGAGGTTCACATTGGATAGTGGGGAAATCCTTTCCCAGGTAGGGCTGTGCAGCCCTGGCACAGCTGCCCAGGGCAGGGGTGGAGTCCCATCCCTGCAGGGATTTCACAGCCATGTGGATGTGACACTTGGGGACATGGGTCAGTGGTGGCCTTGGCACAGCTGGGGAGCAGTTGGGCTCAGTGGTCTTAGAGGGATTTTCCAGCCTCGTTGGTTTCTGTGACTCCACCCGAGGACTAGAGGAATCTGCACATCCCTGAGGGGAAGGGCAGGGAACATAGTGACACCACCTGGCACAGTGCCACCATCCGCTTCCTCCTCCCATCCTGCAATAACCCTGCTGGTGGAGGGGAGCTGCCCTCAGGGGTGCGTGGTCCCCAAAGCTGGGGGTTTCCCCAAGGAGACAGGAGCCCTCCAGGGCCAGCCCTAACCTGAGGCCACCGGGGCTCCCGTGTCCCTGTGCCAGCTCCGGTGTCCCCGCAGGATGGAGCTGTCGCCCAAGGCACGAGGGTGACGGGTGAGGGAGGAGGAGGAGGAAAGCGCTGCGGGGTGACGCAGCTCCCGGACTGGCTGTGCCGGGGTAAGGAGGGCACAGTGCTTGTCACACCACCAGGCGTCACCTTGTGCTAAGGGACTCCTGTCGCTGCAGACATCCTGCCGAGTCCCGTGTCCGGCGATGCGCGCTGGGTTCCTGCCGTGAATCATTGCCACGGATGGATCCTCCGGGCTGGGCGGGGTCTCCCGGGGCTTGTCCCACTCTCTGCCTGGATCCCTCAGGCTCCAAGCCCTCCGCTCACGGCTGCTGGCCCCTGGCAGGCTCGGCACAGCTCCTGTGGCACCCGCGGCTTGCTGGGCTCGGCAGGGCGGGACGGTGTGACACGGGAAGTGCCACTGCCACATCCTTGCTGCGTCACTTAGGCAGCGCCAGTGAGCTGCCCAGCCACGCTTATGGGGCTGTTTTAGGCCAGGGCACAGCTGATCCCTCCCTGTGCATCACAGCACCTTGGGGACAGACTCTGGCTTGGTTTGTGTCCATTGTGGGGGCCTTGGTTCACATTTGCTATCCCCAGCCCTGCAGCTGGAGATGGCAGGAGGGGACAGGGAGGGATGGCTCTGGTCCCACGGTGTTCTGTCCTTCCCTCCTCCTCAGCAGAGGGTCCCCACAGGCTTCAGGTTCTCCAGGGCCAAAGCTGGGACCATCTCCAGGACAAACTCCGTGTGGGGAACTAAAAAGCTGGATCTGTCTGGAGGAGGGAGCAGGGGGGCTGTGCCTTCCCAGCCCCACGGCTGGCACACTTTTAGTGCTGCTGGAGGTTTGGCAGCATAGGAGGGACAGGAATTGGTCTTGCAAAAGCTGCTCGTCCGGCGGGGCTCCTGTTGCAACTGCTGTTCTCAGAGGGCAGGAAGGTGCAGAGGAACTGGTTTGTAATGGGGAAGTACAGGCGGTTTCCAGTTACGAGGTGGCAAATGGTGAGAGAAAGGAAAGCAAAGCTCTGCAGGAGGGGAGAAAAGAGAAAGCAGGAGAGAGAAAAGGAGGGGAAGGGGCAAAGCAGGGGAAGAGATCCTGTAGAAAAGGGAAATGGAGCCTGAGAGCCTTCAGTTGTGGCTGATCACTGCACCCCGTGCTTGGTGCTTGGCCGTGGTGTGGCAGTGCCCACCTGGGCTGGCAGCTCTGCTGTTCTTGGCTGGCTGCTCACCCTTTAAATCCTCCTTCCCCCCAGCCCCAAGGTGCAGAGCTGGGCAGTGGGGCAGAGCAGTTTCACTTCTTGTTTGCAAACACATTTTTCCTCCCCAGCTCAGGGCTGGTGGCCCCAGCAGACACCAATGTGTGCATGTGGTGACCACCGGGCTGGCTGGCTCAGGCCCATCAGAGGAGGCCAAGGAGCTGCTCCAGGGCTGGAGCCCCTCTGGAGCCAGGCTGAGAGAACTGGAGAGGGACTGGGGACAAGGCATGGAGGGACAGCACACAGGGAATGGCTCCCACTGCCAGAGAGCAGGGCTGGATGGGATCTTGGGCAGGAATTGTTCCCTGGCAGGGTGGGCAGGCCCTGGCACAGGGTGCCCAGAGCAGCTGTGGCTGCCCCTGGATCCCTGGCAGTGCCCAAGGCCAGCTTGGACATTGGGGCTGGGAGCAGCATGGGACGGTGGAAGGTGTCCCTGCCATGGCAGGGGTGGCACTGGGTGAGTTTTAAGGTCACTTTAAGGTCTTTTCCAGTCCATACTGTGGCCAGTGGAGCTGGGTCCTGCTCTGCCACTGTCACTGGGCTCTGTCCCCCAGTGTCCTGCTCCCCCAGCATCGTGGTGCACAGGGCCTTGAGTCCAGCCCGGGCTGCAGGCAGTGCAGAGGCACAGGAGGCTCTGGGGCACAGCCCCCTGTGTCCCCTGGGCCCGGCTGAGCCCTGGGAGCTGGAGCAGGGTGGCTGAGCTGTGTCCCTGCTGCGGCAGAGCCGTGTGAGCAGCGGGGACCACAAGCGCCTTGGTGACCACGCGTGGTTTCACCCCAGCTCCTCGCAGCGCCCCTGGGAGCGCTGGCGCTGCCTCAGACAAGCCCTCTATAAATAGCTGAGCTCTGTGGGGCTCTCTGCACAGACCCGGAAACCCTCGGGGGAGCTGGGACTGGTGTGTGACACACAGCCCTGCAGGTGCCACTTGTCCCCCAGAAAGGGATGATGGATGAGTGCAGAACCGGGGCTTGGGAGGTCCCTGCAGAGTGAGCTGTTGCCGTTGAAGATCACTGCCATCCCTGTCCCCATCAGGAACTGGGGCTGGGCACAGTCCTTCCTCTCTGGTGGCAGTGGAAGGAGCAGGAGGCTCCTTTTCTTCCTTGCTGGTGGCTCACAGCAGCCACCCCTCAGAGCTGCACTTGCAGGGCTTGGGTCTCGCCCAGGCTGGGGGAATGAGACCCCAGTGCCTTCTGTGGGCTGGGATCAGTGGCCCAGAGTGTGCCCCCGGGCTGGCTGCTGTAGCTGCTCCCTCCTCCCTGCCTTGTCTGGCCTCCTGCTCCTGACTCACCTTCATGTGCCAGGAACATGCCTCAGCTTCCACCTGCCAGCTGGGCACAGAATAGAGCTACCCTGTGGTTTTCTGGGCTGGACACACACAGGAGGGCTGGGGTGGCTGTGTGACACTGGGGGGACTTGCCAGGGCTGCGGGTGGCCTGGTCTGTCTTGCCAGGAGGAAGTTGGTAGCCACAGCTGTGCCAGCTCAGCAGTCCCAGCCAGGCCACAGGGGAGCCTGGCACCAGCTCAGCATGGAGCACCCCGTCCGTGGGATTTTCTTATTCCTCTTTTTCCTTGCCAGCAGCCAGAGTTCAGTGGCTTCTTGCCAGGCTCAGACCCGAGGGGCTCCTGGTCCTGTCCAGGCTGAGCAATCCCAATTCTCCCGGTCTTTCCTCACAGCAGAGGTGCTCCATCTGTCTCATCTTGGTGCCCTCTGGCCACCCTCTGGCTCCCTGGGATGTCCCCAGGTGGGGGATCCCCACAAAGCTGAGTCCTGTCCCTTCCTGCTGCAGCAGAGCAGGGTGGCACTGCAGCTCCCACATCCCACTGGGGTCCCCATGAACCCCAGTCCCCTGCTGTGTCCGTGCTCCTGCAGGGACCTTCCCTGAGGTGCCACCTTCCATGCCAGCTCTGCTCAGCACCGTGGCATGTCACCGTGTGCCACCTCACGGGGACCCTGCCCTGTGATCCCCTGGCACTGGGTTGAGCCAGCCGTGCCCTGGCATTAGGAATTAACACCTAATTATCCGTGTGATAATCCTGTGCCCAGACTGGGAGAGGGGGAGCTCAGAGGGCACCCAGAGGTGCAGGGTCACTGTGGTGAGCTCAGGGTGGCTTCTAGGGGGCCATCTCAGGGTCCTGCAGCAGTTGGAAGAGGATGACCCGAGCTGTTCCCTGCCTCCCTGCTCCTGGGAACAACAGCTGCCTGGTGGCCCCGGCCGGTCCCTGGAGGCCCTGGCAGGTCCCTGGAGGCCCTGGCAGGTCCCCGGAAGCTCTGGCAGGTCCCTGGTGGCCCCGGCGGGTCGCAGAGGCCCCGGCAGGGCTGTGTGGGCGCGGCGGGGCCGTGCCGGGGCTCAGCGCAGCCGTTTGCCGTGGGAGCGCGGTGACACCGTGCTGTCACCACGGCTGTTCCCAGCCGCTCTTCCGCTGTGAAACTCAGCACCCGGCCGGGGCTCTGCCACTCCCGGTGCCACCGCTGCTCCTCACACCCTCGCAGGGCTGAGCTGCTGCTGCCCAGTCAGTCCCAGCACGAAGGGCCAGCCCAGGCCCCGTGGGCTGGAGCTGGCGTCACCCGCGTGTCCCTACATGGTGAAGTGCCCGTGAATCCGTCCTTCCTCTCTGGGTTTTCCTCCCTGGCCGAGCCCCTGGCACGCGTTCCAGGGCTAATGGAAAGTGTGATGGGGCAATTTGAATTTTCCTTGTTATCAGCACTCCCTCAGAATGGAATCTTTGTTTCACGTGAAGCATCGGGCGAGGCGGAAATTCCCCTCCCACCTGTAACAGCCTGCGCTGTCTGTGGCATCCCCAGCCCTTCTGTTGGGCTGAGCCCCCCTTGCAGCCCCTCTGCTCCAGGGCTCCCCTGCACCCTCCTTGGGCTCCAGACGTGGTTTGGGGTTCCTCTGCCCCCCGGGCTGTAGGATCCTTATCCACGAGCCTCAGTGTGATGGGAGAAATAGAGGAACTGGAGCCAGTATCTGCTGTGGCTGCCGGGGGTCGCTGCACCCACAGCCCCCAGCTTTGGGGTGCTGGGCAGTGGGTTGAGGGAGCCTATCATAGGGGTCTGGCCCCTATGGGGCCAGGGGTTGTGCCCCTAAGCTCTGGGACACAGAAGCAGTGAGCTGGGGGTGTGCTGGCAGCTGGCAGCATCCCCGTGCTGTGTTCGTGCCCCATCAGAGGCGGTGCTGGGGAGCAGGATGGGGCCCCTCCAGTGTCAGGGCGTGCTGGGCGAGCACCCGCCCCGTCTGCCGCCCCTTCATGTGGTTTCCTCCTCCCTGCTGCTGCTGCTGCTGCGGCCCCTCCAGTGTCAGGGCGTGCTGGGCGAGCACCCGCCCCGTCTGCCGCCCCTTCATGTGGTTTCCTCCTCCCTGCTGCTGCTGTGTGTTGGGGAGTGCTGCACCTGGTGAATTCCCCGTGCCCTGGGGCCACCTGCAGCCACCCGGGCCAGGGCATGTGCCTTTGCTAGAGCCTTGGCCCATCCTATAGGAGTCCCCTGAGCACCCCAGTGCCAGGGGCCCCATATTTGCTGGGACCCCGTGGCTCCCTCACTCCCTGTATCTCCATGTGGATGTGAGCCCCATCTGCTCCCAGGCACGGCCCTGCCAAAGCCACCCCTGGGCCTGGCCTGAGGGGCTCTGCACAAGGAGCCAGGCTGCAAAGACCCCCGGGGCTGTGTGGGGCCAGGGCAGAGCTTCGATGGGATGGGATGGGGATGGGAATGGGATGGGAATGGGATGGGATGGGATGGGGGTGGGAATGGGAATGGGGATGGCATCACCCAGCCCTCGGCCTCTTCCAGGAGCGCAAGTCGTACAAGTGGAAGCAGCTGCTCTTCTTCTTCACCTTCATCACGTTCGCGTTCGCCGTGTGCGTTTACTTCCACCACAACTGGTACTGCGGCCCTGGAGGTGAGGGGGCTGCCTGGGGGATGTGTGGGGAAGGGCTGGGTGCTCACAGAATCACTGAATCACAGGATCCTTAAGGTTGGAGAGATCCCTGGGATCAGCAAGTCCCAGCTGTGCCCATGCCCACTGTCATCCAGCCCAGAGCACTGAGTGCCACGTCCAGGCCTTCCTTGGACACCTCCAGGGATGGGCACTCCAAACCTCCCTGGGCAGCTCTTTCCAAAGCCCGACCACCCCTTCTATGAAAAATCTCCTTCTCATGTCCAAAAATTCTTCCTGATATCTGGCATCCTCCTAATATGACACCTTGCCTTCCAAATCCCAACCCAGGGAAGCTCCAGGTGCCCAGCCACACTTTTCCCTGGTGGGGGTCACCCCCTGCTCTGCTTCCCCAAAGAGGTGGCCCAGAGACCCCCCCAGCTCCCAGGGCAGATGCAGCTGTGGGTCCCCCTCACCTGCTGTGTTTCCTCCCCCAGTGTACACTGTCTTCGCCTTCCTGGAGTACCTGGTTGTCCTTTCCAACATGGCCTTCCACATGACTGCCTTCTGGGACTTCGGCAACAAGGAGCTGGTGGTGAGCTCGCTGCTGGAGGACAAGCACTTCTAGCCAGCCCCGCCCTGGGGGCTCCTCTTCCCTGTCCTGCCGGGGTGTTTGCTGTGGAGCTGCTGCCAGGATCATCCCGAGATCCCAGGAGTGTCTGTCCCTAGCTGCACCTGCAGCTCTCATCCAGGGAGGCTGTGGGTTCTTCCCAGGGAACCCCTGTCCTGACTCCCTGCCAGCTCCAGGGGGACAGGACAGAGGAGGAACAGAGACCTGGGGTCACCTGGAGGATGCTCCAGGGAGAGCAGGATGCTGCTCCCGGTATCGGGGCATGGGGGTCCAGCCCTGCCCTGTCCTGTCTTGGCCTGGGGGGGTCTCATGGCTCCTCTTGCAGGCTTGGGGTCTTGGGGCCAGTCCTCAAAAAGGGCTGGTGGCCTTTTGGGCTGGCTTCAGGCACTGGGGCAGGGCCCATGTGTGCCTGAGTTCCTGGGAGGGGAGCAGCAAGGTGGTGGGCCGTGCAGGGACTGCCTGGAGCAGGGTGGGAACACACAGGGCAGAGCAGGTGCTGGGAGCATCTCACTCCTGCCTTTTCCAGAAGCCCCCCAGCAGCACAGGCTGCTCCAGGGGTGCTATGCCCGTTCCAACCTGGTTTGAGGAGGAAGGATGAGTGTGCTGGTGCTGGAGGTCTTTACCCTGTGTCCCCCCTGTGCCATGGGGCTGGAGCTGGGAACTGCTGGGGTTCAGCAGTGCCCCCAGTGTGCAGCTCTGGCTGCCAGGGCACAGGGGTCATGGCTGGATGGCCTGGGGGCTGACAGTGTCCCCAAGCTCCTCCTGCAATGCTGCTGGAAGGGGCACCTGGAGCTGTCTTGATTTTGGGGAGGTCTGGACTGGCCAGGGCTCACCCCAGGCCACGCTTAGCCAGGAAGGACCAGCCCTCCCTGCCCTTCACCTGAGCGCAGCCACCACCGAGAGTCCCCTGGGATGTCCCAGTGCTCATCCCAGGGCTGGGCAGAGCCTCCTGCAGCGGGAGCTGCGGGGCCCTGGCAGAGCCGGGGCCGAGCTGGCTTTGAGCAGGTCCTGCTGCACGTGTCCATCGTCAGTGTCCCCATCCATGGGCTCCATCCGTGTCCCTGCATGCGTGTGATGCGCTGCCCTGCAGCGCCTTGGCTTTGAGGTGGAAATAAAGCACTAAGTATTTTTGTGAGCTCTCGGCAAACTCCTCAGCATTTCCACCTGGCACAGCCCGGCATGGCCCTGGCACAGCCAGCAGGTCCAGACCTTCACCATAGGCAGGGTGGGGGCTGGAATGGGGTGCAGGACATGGACCCCGGGCACCGGGACTGGAGTGTGGGATGTGGATCCTGGGTGTTGGAGCTGGGCTGCAAGATGTGACCTCTGGGGTGTGGGGTGTGGATCCCTGGAGCTGGGGCTCAGGATGCAGATCCCTGCAGGATGTGTGTGGCTGGGGTGTGGAATAGGAACCCTGGGTGCTGGGGTGCAGGATATGCATGGCTGGGGTGTGGAATGGGAACCCTGGGTGCTGGGGTGCAGGATGTGGGACATGGCCCCCGGGTGCCGGATGAAGGCCGGGAAGGTTCAGCAAGGCTGGGAACTAGCCAGGAGCTGGGCTGGAGGCGTGGGACTGAGCCCACCCCGCAGCTGCCGGCCCCGGTCCCCGCCCAGCTCTAGGGGCCGCTGACTTGGCTGCGGATCCTGCAGATCTTACAGATGCTGCGGGGCCAGGGGCCGGCACAGCCCCGGGGACAGAGCCTGGAGCCAGGAGGGCCGGGGCTGGCACTGCCGGGGCTGGCACTGCCGGGGCTGGGCAGGGGCAGGGGAGCTGTTGGGGGCTTGGTTCCCCCTGTCCCAGGCCATGGTGGGGCCCTGGTCTCAGTGCAGCCGCCCCGGGAGCAGCTGGGAGGAGAAGAGCCATGAGCTCATCCCGCTGTGCTGGGCCAGGGCAGGGCTGTGTCCTCATCCCAGCACCCACTTCTGCACTGAACCCCACCAGGATGGCACCTCGCCAGCCCCACAGTGGGACCCTCCAAGAGGGGATCCCCACTGCAGGACCAGGACAGGGCTGTGGGGATCCCCAC